ACAACAACATCAAGTGTAACTGCTGAGCCTTCTCCAACACGAGACATCAGTAAGATCAAGAAGCAAGTTAGAGGAATCTCGAGAACTCAAGGCTACAAACTATATGCTGCAACGATCTTGGCGTCTTTCCTCGGTTACATGCTCCTTGCAGGAGTTATTCATCGCTATTACATCTTTCCACAAGATCACAATACTTACAAAGCTTTCTCAAGAGCAGGGAGGGGTTTCATCTCGCTCATGGAATACATTGCTGGAGTTGTGTTCTTTGGTGGAGCAACGATTCTCGCTTGGAACTGTTGGAAAGGAAAAGACTTGCACCTTGTAGATGCGCCATATGTGGGTTCCATTTCAGCTGAAGTTGGCCTCAAGCCAACCAGCATTCAGGTTGGAAAGCGTCCGGAGTTTCAAGGTGAATTGATGATCAAACTTTATAGAGGGATTAAGCATTTGATTATGTGCAGACATTATTCCGGAGCATTCAAAAGGAAGGAAGGAGTATGTGGGAGTGTTTGCGTGTGGGCCTGAGGGAATGCAAGAAAGTGTGGGAGTACTTTGTCAAGCTCACAAGCTCAACTTTCATCCTCTTAATTTTGAACTGTAACGTGTGTTTCTGGGCTTGGAAGATTTTATTACTTTTGAAAACAATGTTCTCTACACTATAATATGGTATCAGCATAATTTGAAGTTTACTTATTAATATACTTTACAAGCTTAGTAAAATTTTTAAATTTCTTACTATTTTTCTTTTTATAAACTTAAGTAAAAATTTGCAAAAATCAAGCTACAAATGCTTGACATCTCCATGCTCCAATCTGCCAGCCCAGCACGATCAACAACATGCAATGGCTCCACAATGTGCTAGTGCACATGAGCTTGATTGAGCAGCGCTCCACTTCTTCCTCTCATAATCAGTACACTAGGAATTTGCACTCGAATTCCCACTCGTCTGCAGCCCATTCCAGGTGCCTTCCCATGCCAAGGCCACCAAAGTCAACCAAGCTCATCTTCACAGGCTTGATTGAGCTTGGGGGGATTGACAAGGGCTGATATGATGGAACGGGAAAAGCTACTGTTGAATGCTTGTTGTATACAGTCTTATATACTCGTTCATCTCCTTTAATCTCTCTTAGATTCCTGCTGCAGATTCCTGTGTCCTTGACACCTTGATTCTTGCTCCAACACGATCCATTCTCCCAGATGGCCTGGAACGAACAGAAACTGCATGGATATTGTATACAGAAATAAATCAATCTAATCTTTTGAGCATTGCTCAGGACACAAAAATGCATTCTTTTGTGAATTTGGTTTGTCAAGGTTTGCAAGAACTACACTTCAGCATACAATCCCAAGCTGTGAATGCCAGGCTTAGGGATCAAATCACAGTGCATGCTAAGTTGATGGCATCCGCAATCCAATGCCCAATGCAGACAATAGGACAGCAGTTCTTAAAATTTTTGTTACTTATAATATACTTTGTAGTAGATTAGGGTGGAGAGGGGGAGGGTAAAAATTCATGTTTTTTTATGAAATTGTTTGCTCTTTCTTCACTTCCCAGTCATATCTTACATGATTTTTATAACAATCTGTCCACTAATCACTTGTTGGATCCATATTTTTGTTGATTTTTTTTTTCCAAAAAATTTGAATATAGAGTTTGTTTATTTCCTTCATTCACCCCTCCTATGGCACTCAATCACTGTCCTTGTATCAGTTCTATATAGTGTTAATGGGAGTTGCCTTCCACCTCAACTTATAATAGTAGTGTTGCTATAAAATCAATTGTATGCCATATCACATATTGCCAAGAATCCAGTGCTCCTAATTTTGCAAGATTCAACCTATCATCCCTACCAAGAAGACAAGAGTTGAGCTGCTTGAGAACCAATCCAATAGGGACATGGTTGTTGAATTTTATCTATTTTCAATCTCCTAGCGACCAGCTGCTTCATTTGGATTCCTAGGTAGCATTGCCTTAGACCTGACTCATCTGACTGACTCACTTCGGCTGTAAGAGAGGTATGAACATACTTGATTGGCTATGGTCCTAGCTGTGTGATATAGCAATCATTGCTATTGCAATTGAGGACAAGAAAAATCTTAATTTAAATGTGGATTCAAACTTATAGTTTTTTTACTTATACATTGCATGTAGCAATGTTTATTTTAGTACCATATTTATAATTTATAAACACAAAATTAGTCTTATTTTATTTGTGAGTGCATGGAATATGGAAATGGAATATGTCAATTAGCCTAAAAACCCTAGTTTATATATATATATATATATATATATATATAGCTGTCCAGATGCATATATATAGAGATACAGATAGATATATATATTTTTTTTTTCCCACACACACACAAAAACAAAAAAACTGAATTTCTCTTTATTTTAAAAATAAAAAAAAAAAAAACATATACCCTCCCTCTTGCTCAAAAAAAAAAAAAAACACCCCTCCCTCTACACACATATATTTTTTTTTTTCTTTTCTCCTCTCTAGCTAATAATTTTGAAAAAAAAATAAACATACCCCCTCCCACCTATAACTTTCTTTTCCTCTTCTCTTTAACAAAAACAAAAAAAAAAAAACATTGGTCCCTCTTTTTCACCCCCAAAAAAATACCTATTTTCCCACACCCAAACGTAAAAAAAAAAAAAAAAAAAAAGCAGGACAAAAAAAAAAAAAAAAAAAAAAAAAAAAAAAAAAAAAAAAAAAAAAAAAAAAAAAAAAAAAAAAAAAAAAAAAAAAAAAAAAAAAAAAAAAAAAAAAAAAAAAAAAGAAAAAAAAAAAAAAAAAAAAAAAAAAAAAAAAACAAAAAAATTCAACTCGATTTTCGTTTAGAAAAAAGAATAAAGCAATACGCCCAAGGTGCTAGTCGTCCTGAAATCCAATCTGACAGCTATTAAAATCCTACTATACTAATATTAATATATAATATCGTAGCTATACACTTAGACCTCACATCATCCCCTCCTCTCAAAAGGATGGAAGAAAGTTAGGGTCCTCTAATGGACAAGCCAAGATCTAAAGGAAGCTTTGGTGGATCTATGAGTGGTGTTAATTGCTTATAATCCTTTTGTATGAAGTGTTTTAGCTGTTACACATTGTTGCGAATGTGACTTTAGGTATTGAAAGTTATCTATCAGTCAGTCCTTACAAACACTCTTTTGTTACTGCCACAACGGCAGGAGATCGGTATTGTTGGACTTGTTATTAGTCTCCGCCTAAGATAGTTGAGAAACTGGTCTTTGGGTGTGCACTTGACTAGAAGAGTATAAAGAAGGAATTCTGAAATGTTTATTTAGTCAAGCATATTTGACCTCATTAGAGAAACTCATTCGTTGACTTGTGTTGGGAACCCCCGCGATACTGAGATTGGTCCCTCAATATTTGCTAAATGATATCTTATCGTGTTTGCCAAACACCCTCGCTATCATGCCCTTTGTGTTAGTCTTATTTCGGTCCTAAATGCTATTTATGAAAAGTGTCTAGATTTGCTCATTTGGCACATCTACAGTATGTGGAGATTGTCCTGAACACAATAGTGTTCGTCCTGTGTCCAAATTCTGTGGGGGGTTCCAAATATATAGTAGGGATAGTGGGTAGGTCGGGCATGGCTGACTAACCTGAGGTATAGTCTAGCTCCCACTTGCATACCTGTCCTTGTTTTGCATCTGGCTTAGGTCTAAGTCCAAGTTCCATTCTATGCTAGCTAGTGAAGTACCCATGTCCTTGCGTTAGGCCACCGGTATGCCGAAATAGCACCAGACTCCATTTGGCTCCATTTTGCATGATGTTCCTGGCAATAGGATACTGGTTACTCTAGGACTGTTCCAAGTCATTTTGGGCTCCTATCCCTTTGCTCCTTGGGTTGTACGTTTCGGAATTGCTCCGTGAATCGGTTCCGTCACTCTTTGGCTCCATACTTGGGAGTTTGGCACCATTCCTTCATTCAGTGGCCAAGGCCTTGAACTTTGGGTTCCACACCACGTGTCCTATGGACACGTGGCATGACACGTGGCACATGGAGGATTTAGGTTCTGCTTCGTGGTGTTATCCTATGGTAAATCACCATAGGATAAAGGGTAAAAACCACATGTATTACATTTGGTATCAGAGAAAGAGTCTTAGTGAGTACTATACAATGGGATTGGGCAACTAGTCTCGTTGCATACGCAGAGATGAAAACGATGATTTGAATGGGTATACGTTTAGATGCAAAGGCTTTGCAATCGTTCCTTGAGTATGAATTTGGTTACCTTTTTGTACTATAGTAATGTGAGCTTGCTCTTGGGATTAAGTTGTTCTGTTTGCATGAGTTTTCACTTGGGATCGTGAGTGAGGTACATTAGCGACTCAAGGTTACTGTCGCGAATGTGACTTCGGGTATCGAAAGTTACTTGTCGGCCAGTTCTTACAGACACTCTTTCTTTACTGCCACGATGGCAGGAAGTCGGTATTGCTGGACCTGTTATTAGTTTCCCACTTGAGCTAGTTGAGAAACTAGTCAATAACCATGGACTTAAATTGGATAAACATAAGGTAGGAACCCTATGTGTTTCTTGCTGAGCATACTTGGCCTGGTTTGAGAAATTTGAGTCATTGTCTTGCACTTGCTAGTATCAAGAACCCCCGCGATATTGAGCTTGGTCCCTCAATATCACTAGATGATAGCTTACCGTGTCTGCCAAACACCCTCGCTATCATGCCCTTTGTGTTAGTTTCATTTCGGTCCCAAATGCTATTTATGGAAAGTGTTTAGATTTGCTCATTTGGCATATCTACAAAATGTAGAGATTGGCTTGAACACAATGGTGTTCGTCCCGTGTCCAAATTCACAAATCCAATGCCATTCCATATTTAGTAAGTTTCAAGCTTGTCCCAAAGAGTAACTCCTGATACTAAGGGAGGCTTGGGGTGAAAGCCCAAAGCTTGTGTTCCTCAAGGCGGGGGGGGGGCGTTGTGGGGGGTTCCAAATGTTTAGTAGGGATAGTGGGTAGGTCAAGTATGGTTGACCAACTTAAGGCATAGTCTAGTTTTTGCTTGCGTGCCTATCCTTGTTCTGCGTCCGGCTTGGGTCTAAGCCCAAGTTCCATTCCATGCTAGCTGGTGGAGTACCCATGTCCTCGCAGTAGGCCACCAGTATGCCGAAATAGTGCTATTTGGCTCCATTTTGCATGCTGGTCCTGGCATTGGGATGCTGGTTACTCTAGGACTGTTCCAAGTCGCTCCGGGCTATACACTTAGGAGTTGTTCCGTGGTTCGGTTCCGTCACTCTTTGGCTCCATGCTCAGGAGTTTGGCACCGTTCCTTCGTTCAATGGCCCAAGGCCCTGAACCTCGGGTTCCACACCACTGTCCTTTGGACACGTGGCATCTATCACGTGACATAAAGAGGGTTTAGGTTCCACTTTGTGATGTTATCCTATGGTAAGTCACCATAGGATAAAGGGTAAAAACCATGTGCACTACAATTACACTCTGAGTTGGCAGGATTAATGTTAGCCTATCGGTGGTTCCATGAGTTGTTCCTTGTACCATGGGTAAAAGTAAACCTTCCCTGGGTTTGCTATGAGTGGCAAATAGGCTGGTCCATAGCTATTTAGCACGGGACTAGTGGATCCTTCCTAGGTATGATTACAAGTGGATCAATCAAAGACTATAGGGATGAATCTATTGATTCAAGTACTTATTGCTGTGCTCTCTCATAAACTTT